TCCCTCTATTACTATCTCCATGCAAGAACTGGAGGTTGTTCATGAATTTGTGTACCTTGGCTCAACAATCTCTGACACTCTCTCCCTAGATGTCGAGCTGGATAAACGCATTGGGAAAGCAGCTACCATGTTCTCTACACTCACAAAGAGAGTATGGCTTAATAAGAAGTTGACGTCATAAACCAAAATCCAGGTCTATAGAGCCTGTGTCCTGAGCACACTCCTATACTGCAGCGAGTCCTGGACCCTTTGTGCATGGCAGGAGAGGAAGTTGAACACCTTCCATATGCGTTGTCTCCGACACATTTTTGGTATCACCTGGCAGGACAAAGTTCCAAATAGAGTAGTCCTAGAATGAGCTGGAATTTTCAGCATGAATACATTATTGAAACAGCGCCGTCTGCATTGGCTTGGGCACGCCGTGAAAATGGCTGATGGTCGGATTCCAAAAGATCTCCTGTATGGAGAATTATTGAAGGGAAGCAGCCCCCGAGGGAGACCACAGTTGCGTTACAAGGACATCTGCAAGCGGGATCTGAAGGCCTTAGGAATGGACCTCAACACATGGGAAACCCTGACATATGAGTGTTCAGCCTCGAGGCAGGCGGTGCATCATGGCCTCTCCCAATTTGAAGCTTGTACTGTACAGCAGGCCGAGGCAAAGAGGCAATCCCAAAACAAGCAAAACCAGGGAGCTGGACAGGGGACAGATTGTATTTGTCTTCAATGTGGAAGAGATTGTCACTCTCGACCTTCTCAGCCTCTCTCGAGACTGAAGGATGCCTACTACACCTTTCCCCCCTCAGTCTTTTTCAGAAAATCCAACCTTTTCATGATGTGCCCAAATAAAACAACCCTGATTTCATCATTCTAGTCCTTAAAAAAATTCTGTTCTATTTGCAGTTCAAGTTGTATTAAGTACAATTATGTTTATATGCCAGCATACCTTTTTGGAATTTCATTTTGCATATTCTTATATTTGTGAGAAATGGCAGTACAGAGCTTGTATCTAAAACAAGTAGTTTTATTTACAGCAATAGTTAACATGAATTACTGCTCCCTATGGAATGCTTTAGAAAAGGCTCGCTTGTCCTTATTAAAGTTCCTTTGATGCAAAATCTTGGCTCAGTGACCTCTAACACTGTCTCCTAGATAAACACATTAGCAAAGCAGCTACCATGTTCTCTAGTGTTGCTAGGAGTTTAGACTCACAAAGTGAGAGTAGCTTAATAAGAAGCTGACAGCATAGACCAAGATCCAGGTCTATAGAGCCTGTGTCCTGAGCACATTCCTGTACTGCAGTGAGTCCTGGACTCTTTGTGCAGGGTAGGAGAGGAAGCTGAACACCTTCCATATGCGTTGCCTCCAATGCATTTTTGGTATCACCTGGCAGGACAAAGTTCCAAATATAGTAGTCCTAAACGAGCTGGAATTCTTAGCATGTATACCTTACTGAAACAGTGCCGTCTACGTTGGCTTGGGCATGTCATGAGAATGGCTGATGGTCGGATTCCAAAAGATCTCCTGTATGGAGAATTAGTGCAGGGAAGCCGCCCCAGAGGGAGACCACAGCTGCGATACAAGGAGATCTGCAAGCAGGATCTGAAGGCCTTAGGAATGGACCTCAACAGATGGGAAACCATGACCTCTGAGTGTTCAGCCTGGAGGCAGGCGTTGCATCACAGCCTCTCCCATTTTGAAGAGACCCTTGCCCAGCAGGCCGAGACAGGCAGTCCTGAAAGCAAGAAAATCAGGGAGCTGGACATGGGACATACTGGATTTGTCTTCAGCGTGGAAGGGATTGTCACTCTCGAATTGGCCTTCTCAGCCACACTAAACGCTGCTCCAAGTCCTCTGTTCAGAGCACGTTACAGTACTACAGTCTCTAGAGACTGAAGAATGCCTAATCTAATCTAATGCAGAATAGTTCAATCATGATTTCTTGCCATTACTCTGTAACGATGTTCAAGTCACAGGCTTCTAGT